GTCTGTGTGTGTGTGTGTGTGTGTGTGTGTGTGTGTGATTGGGGGGAGAGTTCAAAGAATGTAACTTTGATTTCTGTTGCTAGTAAAAAGTTAGTATTACAACACAACATTTTGATGGTCAGGGTATTCATATTCAATTCAGTGTGTATGTACTGTATGTAAGCATGGTAAGAGCAGGTCTGTCTGTCTGACTATGTGTTGTAAACTGAAGTCATCGTGAAACATTAACAAGCAATCATGAACCATTAACAAACACACAGTGAACTAAGCACAGTCCATTCTGCTATAACCACAGTGATGCTTTGCTCTGTGTTAACCCTGATCAGCCCAGACTGTGTCGGTGTGTGTGTGTCTTTCTGTGTGAGGAGAGGGTGTGTGTCTCACATTGTCGATGATGTTGTAGACTTTGTGTGCCGCCCCCCGGGCGCTGGCGAAGGCCTGGACATTAGGAGAAGTCTGTCCCATGGCAAATGCCCCGATCAGCACTGTGAAGAATACCTACAGGACACAAATTAACATCAGTAAGTGTGTGTGTGTGTGTGTGTGGACGTGTTTAACTATAGTAAACTAACACAAATCTGACCAACTGACGACATTTTGTTAGTCCCCACAAGGTCAAATACTATTTCTAGTGGGGTTTAGGGTTAAGGTTAGCATTAGTGTTAGGGTTAGAATTAGGTTTAGGGTTAGGAGCTAGGGTTAATTTTAGGGTTAGGAGCTAGGGTTAGGTTTAGGGTTAGGGTTAAGGTTAGGTTTTGGGGTTAAGGTTAGGATTAGGTTTAGGGTTAGGGTTAGGTTAGGTTTTGGGGTTATGTTTAGGATTAGGGTTAGGTTTAGGGTTAGAGGTTAGAGAAAATAGGATTTTGAATGGGACTGAATTGTGTGACCCACTAGGTTAGTTATAAAAGACTGTGTGTGTGTGTGTGTGTGTGTGTGTGTGTGTGCGTGTGTGTGCGTGTGTGTGCACATGTGTGCGTGTGTGTGCGCATGTGTGCATGTGTACTCACGGTGAGGACAGTTCCAATGGTGTATTCTCCAGATATGATGAGTGTGCTGCCATACCAGAAGGACAGAGCGTAGGACAGGTAGATCATCAGGAAGGTGAAGCCCATAGCCATGTTAGCAGAGATGGCTTTACGGATCCCCATGTTCATAGCATCCTCCAGGTTCTTCTGGTACCTGTGGTACAAAACACCACACACACACACACACACACACAGGAATTGAAAGAGAGAGAAAAACACAGAGAGACAGAGAGAATGAGAGAGAGAGACAGAGAAAATGAGAGAGAGATACACAGAGACAGAGAGAATGAGAGAGAGAGAGACTCAGAGAGACAGAGATAATGAGAGAGAGAGAGAGAGACTCAGAGAGATAGAGAGAATGAGAGAGAGACTCAGAGAAACAGAGAGAATGAAAGAGAGACTCAGAGAGACAGAGAATGAGAGAGAGATACACAGAGAGACAGAGAGAATGAGAGAGAGAGACTCAGAGAGACAGAGCGATTGAGAGAGAGAGAGAGGCTCAGAGAGACAGAGAGAATGAGAGAGAGATACACAGAGACAGAGAGATGGTATACATATGAAAACAAACCACACTAATCCAATTGTCATCTGCACTGATGGTTTTACACAGAGTGGTCTGGACTGGTCTATCCATTTATAGAACAATAACAACTACTGACTCTGCTCAGGCTAATGGTCTTTACAGCAGCAACAAGTCCTTTAGGAACATTATCCTGGTGACCTGTCCGTTGCCTTAGTTACTGCTCCATTAACGTTAGCAAAAAGTCTCCATTCTACCCCCCTCTCGCTCTCTCACACACACACACACACACACACACCTGGTTATCTCCTTCTGTTGTCCACCAAAGGCGAAGACTGTTCTGACAGAAGAGATCACCTCCTCAGCCACGGCTCCAGCTTTAGCATAAGCACCCTGCTCCAGGGACGTGAAGGATGTCAGTACCTAGAGACACACAACGGAGAAAGAGGAGAAAGGGAGTCAAGAGAGGTGTTTGTGTGTGTTTGTGTGTGTTTGTGTTTGTGTGTGTTTGTGTTTGTGTGTGTTTGTGTGTGTTTGTGTCTGTGTGTGTTTGTGTCTATGTGTGTTTGTGCACACTCACGCATGCGTGTATGTGTGTGTGTGTGTGTGTGTGTGCGAGGGCATGTACGTGTGTGTATGTATGCATGTGTTTGTGCGTGTGTGTGTGTGTGTGTGTGTGTGTGTGTGTGTGTGTGAAGCCCACCTTGCTGAATATAAAAGCAGAGAAGCCCAGCACAGGGCTGACAGCCAGGATGACCAGGGTGAGCTTCCATCCTTGGCTGAAGCCGATGATGAAGGCAGCGATGAAGGTGGTGAAGGACTGGATCAACATGCCCACCTTGTCCCCTATCCCCTCGTTGATCTTATAGATGTCACTGTGGAGGGGAGGAAACACAGAATAAAACACACACACACACACACACACACATACACACACACACACACACACACACAC